AAAAAGCCTATGACATAAGGGAAGAAGTATAGGAACTGGCAGTTTGTAGACTTGGAAAGAGAAAAAAGGGTATGCTATATTCTGAGCACAGCATACTCTCTGCCCTCTTCTGTGTCTACCAACTGCAGAATACACTGCATCTTATCCAAAAAGAGCATAGGAAGACATGACAAGCCATTTTTTTTTAAGAAATGGAGACGCAAGTCCATGTTATAAAATTGTATTTGGTTAAAAATAGTTACATTTTAAAATAGTAACACTCAGAAAATAGTTCTGCTATCCATTTAGCTAAATGCCACTGACAGTAGTGAGACAGAGGACAGGGGACAGCAAACCCAGAGATGCTGAACCTGAGCAGCACCTCATGCTCGTTTGCATTAACCGCATTTACGCATTTAGTCATGCATACTCTTCTCACAGCTCTGGGCATTATTCTTCTGCAATGAACCAACTGCATCTTTCTTCTTATACTGAAGCTTCACATGGTACTTCTTACTGTGTTTGTATCTCAGTAGTGTTTTCTTTTAAGAGAAGATGTACCATCAAAAAGCATTCCAAATAAAAGATCTTTGAATTAATGCACAAGAGCTTAAAGAAGTGGGCAGACCACAGCAGAGAACAATCAAACACACACGGGATGGCAGCAAGTTCAGAAGGCTTCTCCCCCCTCAAGCCCCCTTTTTAAAGGCAGCATTCATAACTACTAGTGACACCTAGCAAGCAGCGTGACCAAGCGATTAAGATATTAACTGCACAGTTCAAGAAACCTTGATTACAAACAGGCTTCTGAAATATGACAGACCTTCCACCTATTCCAACTATTTAAAGTTTCTTCATGTTTTCCCCAATATTTTTTTTTCAATAAGAATACAGTTCAAGATAGAAAACTGCTCTTATTTTTATTCTTAGGTAAGAAAGCACTATGTATTTAAGTGTAATTCTGTGCCTTCAGTGTGACAGTAACTCAAATTCCAAGTCTGACTATGATTACAGGGTTAAGCTCATGACACTGAGCTAGATGGGAAGAGGAGAATTTACCAGTTAGCTGAAATAGCATTGCTTGGCCCTTCATAGGAGGAAATTATGTGGTTTCAACAGTTTCCACTTCTTCATCAAAAGAATGAAAAAAGAAGAGACTGTCTTCTCAGAGCTCCTTTACAGTGCAGGGAAAAAAAACACTGAACTCTGGCAGCAGCCACTCAGTCTCCCAGTCTCCCCTACAGAGATATCTGAGATAAAAGCAATTTCAGTTAGCATAGATCTTTCCTGAAGGAGAGGATACTTTAAATTAATATTACATTATTTTAATAGAATCTTAATGAAACCATATTATACCTATAAAAGTTGTGGACAAAAATAGTGGTTTGCTTTCTAAACTTCTTTCCTCCTAGACCCTTCTACCTGGTGATGGACAGCTTTATCAACTGTCAGAATTGTAGCTGGTGATAAGGCACACTACTACCACACAAAGATTTATCGCACACTCCTCTTCAGCAGACTGTCTAGATGGATTACCAAAAAAATAAAAAAAATATTAATTAGGGTG